CTCTGACACCCCCCCAGGACTCTTCCACTCCCCCCTCCCAAATACACACACACACTGACCTGCACCAGTCACTTTGGGCAGCATTGGACTGCTCACTACCTCATCCAGCATTGTATTGCAAACTACCTCTCTGACAGTTTAATTAAAGACTGTTCTCTGAGCTCTTTAACACTTTAACAGACTGATAAGCTCTTTTTGCACTACACTCATTATATCTTCACAGTTTGTTTATATCACTGGTTTGCACTCTGACTGCCATGTGCCTTACGCCACTTTTTCTATCTCTTTTTTTACAATGTCCTTATTTGTATATTTGTATAGTTTGTATTTTACCCCCATGCACCTCTGAGCTCTGACCCTCTGACACCCCCCCAGGACTCTTCCACTCCCCCCTCCCAAATACACACACACACTGACCTGCACCAGTCACTTTGGGCAGCATTGGACTGCTCACTACCTCATCCAGCATTGTATTGCAAACTACCTCTCTGACAGTTTAATTAAAGACTGTTCTCTGAGCTCTTTAACACTTTAACAGACTGATAAGCTCTTTTTGCACTACACTCATTATACCTTCACAGTTTGTTTATATCACTGGTTTGCACTCTGACTGCCATGTGCCTTACGCCACTTTTTCTATCCCTTTTTTTTTTACAATGTCCTTATTTGTATATTTGTATAGTTTGTATTTTATATATATTTAAACTGTATTTATCTGTATTATATCTACTGTTAGTGTTAAGTGTTAACTGTATGCACCATGGGTCTGAGAGTAACGCAATTTCAATTCTCTGTATGCATATATATTTAAAACGTACAAAAGTATATTGGCTACAACTAGATGGCAAATAGCCTACTTCTCCACTCTTCAAACACACCAAACATTAGCCTTTAAAGACATAGTGTTTGAATAAAGAAAACGCTGTACTATTCAAACGTCAGTTATTTATTTACCCTTGCATTGCAAAAAAGCGGAGATCTGTCTCCTCCTGTGTGCGGCGCGTCAATCTGAGATATAATCTCAGAATTATGAGATATAAACTCAGAATTATGAGATATAAACTCAGAATTATTAGATATAAACTTAGAATTATGAGATATAACCTCAGAATTACAAGATATAAACTCAGAATTGCTGGATATAAACAGAATTGTGAGACAAGAAGTCAGAATTGTGAGATATAATCTCAGAATTACAAGATATAAACTCAGAATTGCGGGATATAAACAGAATTGTGAGACAAGAAGTCAGAATTGCGAGATATAAACTCAGAATTATGAGATATAAACTCAGAATTATGAGATATAAACTCAGAATTATGAGATATAAACTCAGAATTATGAGATATAAACTCAGAATTATGAGATATAAACTCAGAATTATGAGATATAAACTCAGAATTATGAGATATAAACTCAGAATTATGAGATATAAACTCAGAATTAT